TTCTCTCTGAGCTGATCCAGATCTGCGTCACTCTTCTGCTTCAGACTGCAAAACGAATTGATTCATCAGAAATATTCATGAATCTAATGAATTCCTGCAATTACTATGGGATAATGATAGGTTTATGACTCTATATAAGTGCTAGATAAAGCTAACATAATTCAAATTGTTCTATTGAATAGAATGGTGCAAATACATAGCTTGAAAGCTGAAAAATTAAATCCAAACCAAATCTCTAAGATGCCCGATTTTTGTGCATTTGACAGCTCTAAACTCTAGCTTCATGCTCTTCAAAATCGTCATTGGTTCTAATATCTCTAATAAGAAACTTCACCATCTCATTCATCGCTATCTCACGATGGTTACTATTTGACAATGAGTAAATTCGACCGTCCAAACTCAAGTTTAACATTCACCCGTGTTAAACTCGGGATTGGATCTATTTCCACACTGCATTCAGCATTGCTATCTTACGATTAGGCAAAAAATCTCATTCATATCAACTGATTTTATTCATTCCCTGATTTTATTCATTAATCAACTGATTTATCACTGATTTTATTCATTAACATCAAGTGATTTTATTCATTCCTTTCTAAAATTCGTCTATAGTCTAAGCTTGAACACATCAAGTGCTTGAACATCCAGTGTCAAGTTTACACCTCACCCATGTAAACGTCGACATTGAATGTGGTCATTTAATTATTCTTGATTCATATTCTATTTCAACATTTCAGTCTTCAATTACTTTGTCGTAATTTTTAACTATTAACCTCAACTTTATCATCTGATCCGCATTAAACTGATTGAATCTGATCTAATGAGTGATCGCTTTTAATATTTTGAGCTAACCAACTTCATGATCTCGTTCTTCTCCTTTTGGAGTTTCATATTCAGCTCTTTCTGCTTATCAATCTCCTTCTGAGCGGACGCTAGCGAGTTCTCTAACGTGGTGATTCTGGCATGACTGGTTTTGAGTTGTGTATCCAACTCGTCATTGTGTCGTCTCATGATCATCAGCTCGCTCTCGTATTCCGTGATTTGAACAGTCATCTTTTCGATCTCAACAGCGCGCTCTGCAAATGATTACCTTTGGATTTGTACCTGGATTACCTGGATTACCTGGATTAGGTCTTACACTTCTTTGAGTTTGTATCAGGCCAGAACTGCCTTTTTTACTCGAGATTTGTGGCTATTAAGTTGTTTAAGTTGAAAATTCAGAGGATCTCAAAATTCAAATCTATTGCCGTCATCCCTCTGACTTTACATCTTCATTTCATTAAAATTTTGAGAAATTTTTGCAAACTATCGAATTTTTATTTAATCGCTTTAATCTAGCGATGAGTGTGGTATAAGGTAATCGTTAATCTAGGGATTTATGCGGATTTCAAAGTTTCGTGTGCGATAGATTGATTTTACATGTTTGTATCTTCCTTCAGTCACAGTAGTCATCTCTGATTTCTATGCTTAGCATCGACAATCCGGACAGTTTTCTTGGCTGCTCAGATGCCATCGAATAATATTTCTGATTCATCAGATTCGGTCATCAAAACAATAAAGTATACAATATGAGAAGTCCACTCGTTTGAAATTTTACCACATCTTTAGATGGACTTTGCAGTTTTCTGAAAGTCTCCAAAAAAGAGAGCAAATTCATCTACTTTGAGCTAAAGAAACTTACGTTTATCAGCCTTCTCCAACGCCTCTTTTCTTTTCATTTCATCACCAATTTTGTGTTGAAGGTCAGTCAGTTGGTGAGCCAGATCATCGCGCTCCTTGCTGAAAGTTCAGAACAGTTAATTGCCTGATCCACTCGACATTTCGGCTTGTGCCAGTCAGCTTCTGCTTGCTTTTTCATTAGATTGTGACAGTTAATTAGATCTATTTGGAGGTCTAACTCTAAAGAAATTGATTGGTTTAGCTGCCTGATATCTCCGAAAGTACCTACAACTTCATTGTTTTACATCCTCTGTTTGCATCCATCACCTATATCATCTCCACAAAATCTCTAAAAGACTTATATCCCATATCCGAGACGATACAAATCAGACTCATTCATGATCTCTTCATCTTCCAGGAAACAAATAAATTCCGATAATCAATTCACAAATGTAAATTCCTCATTTGGTATTTCATCGCATGCTATTATCTTGGATCATCCAACTGCATTCGGCCACTGCTTACCTGATATCATCACGTTGTTGCTTGATCTCCTTAACACTCATCTCTATAGCCACCGTGTTCTTACTGGTCGTTGTATAGGTAGTCTGCAGTTTATCCAGCTCACTGCTCACCATATCGTAACGAGCTCGTTGATTCTCGAGATCTCTCATCAGATCATTACGAGTGCTATCCAAGTTCTTGATTGCAAAATCTGAATCATTCACTTATACTTGTTAATCCTCTCTGATCAATGAGATCATCGCCGTTCTGATCAATAATCTCAGTGATATCTTTTGATCAGTGATATCTTGTGAAGAGTCATCTCATTTCTAAATTATAACATCAATTACTAAACCTTTTTCTTCAATTTGTCGCAGCACATTGTTGTGTTGATTTTCCAAATCTCTCAATTTATCTTTTGTACCGTTTAAATCGCCCTTCAAACGTTTATTTTCGTCGGTGAGCGCTTCGTTACGACGCGTTAACTCAGATATGCTGCAAATTCATTACTATTTAAGTATCCCTCAACTTTCCAGATATCCCTCAAATATCCCTCAAGAGGATCTAAGGGAAAACCTCCGATAAATCCATAGAAAAGCAAATCTCAACTGGCTGTTTGATTTTCTTATCAAAAAATTTATGAGGGATGACAAAAATTGTGGCAATCTGCAATTGTCTAAAGAAATCGGATTCATGGAATATTTTGAACTAAATGCAATCGACATGAAACAACGATATCTTCGGACTTGTGGTCTTCTAATGACAGAACATTAGATATTGCAATAGTAACGTGGAGCTGGGAGAAATGGAATTCTGTTTTGAATTCTTTTCGGGACTAATTTTGGTCTGTGATTGACGAGCTGAATTGAATAGGTCTTATAAATCTATGGAAATTAGTTTGGATCACTCAAATTGAATCAATCCATCGGAATTAATACCGTGATTTGTAGTCATCTTCTATCATCGACTTCTGAGCTTCAGCATCTTCCAGTTGTATTTT